AATTTCTACGATTCTCGCCGTCCCCGCTCTGATGGTCAGATTCTCCGGCATATACTGGATGGCGTCCCCGAGCCGGTTGCCGCACAAACCACTGCCATGGTGTCCGCTCCGCCGCCACTGTGGACTTTTGGTGACTGCACTTGCTTTCCTTGGTGACTTGCACTTGCGGCCCGGCAAGACATTCATGGAGTCGTTCATCAGCACCGCCACTACCGTCCCCCTGGACTCTACACTCCGACCGCCGTCCCTTCAGGAGGCCCTTGCTGCCGAGAAAGCGGTTTGGGCTGCTATCGCGGGCCTTATGCGTGATGAAAAATGGTCCCTGTCAGATGCCTACACGCCACATGCTCCCTACGGTCCTGTGTGCCCGGCCCCGTACCATTCCTGCACCTCCGTTCCGTGACACCCCCGGCCGCGGATCGGGGGCCACTTCGTCTACCGACCGGCCGGATCCATCCGGGGAACCGTCCACCCAAGAAGCCTCGCAAGGAGACCCCGACCGGTGGCAGGCCCAAGGCCGCTCCGAAAGGCGCCCCCATTGGTTCCACCAAGAAGCCCGTCTCCGACCTTTGGGACCCGGCTTGGGCAACCGAGGACGAGTCCGGCCGTGAAATTTGCAAGCGCTTTGTCCTGGGCAGGTGCAAGCTCTCGTCCTGCAAATTTTCCCATACATGTCCGATCCTCCTGCCGTCCGGCAAGCCGTGTGGGCAGCGCCACACCGCTGCCAAGCACATGAAAACAGCACACTGATCGCCCACCGTGCCGGCTGTCTGCTCCGCCCCGCCTTTTGCTGTTCCGGTTGCTGGGGCTCACGAATCTGTCCCAGATGACGCCTGTTCGGTTTCATCCTCCGATTCCTTGGTGATGATTCTTCAGACTGATGGTGATTCGGTGTCTTCCCTGGCTGCTGCTGGTTCATGTGTGCCCCGTTCGCGCTCGCCGCGCCGGCCGCTGTTAAAATTCTCGTGGTCTATGGCCGGCTCCGTTCCTCCCCCCCAGTCTGGCCGCCCTTCCCACCCGTGTGCTCGGACTCCCGTGGGGACCGCTCCACCCACGGTGAGCCGACCCCTCCTTCTTCGTCCTGTTCGGTCCAGCCATCTCCGCCGGCCAGCACACACCCTTTGCCCTACTTGGGTTCTGCTCTGGGTCTGTCTCTTCCCGACCCTGGTACTCAGGATTCACCGGCCCTTTTCCTGGACTGGTTCTCGGGGGCTTCCGCTCCACTCTCTGGTGCCATCTCCAAACTTTCGGGTGATCGCATTGCTCCGATTGATTCCCTGCATGGTGAGCAGATTGACCTCTGCGATGAACGTCACAAGGAATCCTTGAGGCGTTTATGCTCATCCGGGTTGGTGCGGGTTGTTTGTGCTGCCCCGCCTTGCGCCAGCTTCAGCCGCTCTCGCTTGCGTCCTGGGGGTCCCCCTGCGGTCCGCACTCCCAAGCATCCTGGGGGGATACCGTCTCCGACCCGGTCGCAGCAAGCCGAGCTGAACCGCTTCGATTCCCTGCATGCGTTCACGCGCGAGTTGCTATCCCTGGTTTTGTTACAGGGAGGGATCGTGGTTCTTGAGAATCCGTCTTCCAGCTTGCTCTGGCTCACGTCCAAATGCCAACATTGGATTCGTCACCACGCTCTGTCCGCCACGCAAGTTGCTGCGTGCGCTCATGGTATGTCCGCCCAGAAATCTTGGACTTTCGTTTCCAATCTTTCCGATGTTTCCGCCCTGGCCGCTGTCTGCCCGCACCGCCCCGGGTTTCATCTGGCTATTTCTGGTCGTCGTGACTCCTCCGGCCAGTTTCCGACCCGGCATACTGCTTGTTATCCTGCTTCCCTTTGCGCGGCCCTCGCGGCATGTCTCGTTCCATTTCTGTCCTGCAACAACCGGCTTGTGCCGTTCCTGGATTGGGAACGTACTCTGCTTCCATGCCGCTCTTGCTGGCCGGTCCCCTCTTCCCGTGTTGAGGATGGGGCCGGCGCCATTTCCACTGCGTCGTGGGCGGTCCCTTCCGGCCCCAACTGTTTTGCACCTCTGCGCAAACTTTGGACTTCACGCATCCTTTCTGGTGACTTTCTGGCAAAGTTTCGGGCTAATCTCGCGTCCGGCTCCAAACACAAGCCAATTCCGGAGTCCGAACTCGCTCCGTTCCTTTCGGACTTGCGATCTTATTATGGAATGTCTCAAGAGGACTTCCAGCTCCTGTTGAAGGTCCCACCAGGCCAGCCTTTCCGATTGTTCTTGCTGCAGGCTCTGTTGTCTGTGGCCCGCGATCCGGATGTTGACTTTGTTGACCTCCTGGTTTCAGGCATTCCGCTGGGAGTTGACGAGCCCATGCCACCTTGCCCGTCGCTCTTTCCCGCACCACCCGCGACTGAACCCGACATGGACTTGGTTCACTGCGAGTCCTCTTGGGGTTCCGCCCTCTCGGATCCGTCTACGGTGGATCGCCTTCTTCAGGCAGAAGTTTCGGAGGGTTGGATTGCTGAGGTTCCGGGGGGCCTTGCTGCGTTGAAACGGCAGTACAACCGTTCCGTCGTCAGCAAACTTGGCCTGGTCAAGGCTCCGGACCGTGACCCCCGCCTGGTTGTGGATAGCAGCGTGTCCGGGGTTACTGCTCACACTTACCTCCCCAACAAATCGGCGAATCCGACTATCACTGGCTTTCGTCGCTGCCTTCCGTCCCGGTCCTCCCTTGAGCGTTTGTTTGCGCTAATCCTTGACGTTAGCAAGGCGCACCGGCGAATCCTCATCCGGTCTTCCGACCGTAGCTTGCTTTGTTTCTTTCACCGCCGGAAGCTGTACCAATGCCTTACCCTGAATTTCGGCGCCAGGGCTTCCGGTTACTATTGGGCCCGTGTTGCCGGCCTTCTGTCCAGCCTGCTGCACCGCCTTCTCTTCGTCCGGCATGCTCTTCTCATCTATGTCGACGATTTGATTTCGCTGTTTTCTGGGCCGTCTGCCGCGGTCTGGACTGCACTTATGTGTGTGCTACTTCTCTTGCTCCGGGTACCTATGAGTTGGCATAAGGCTTATCTTGGGAGCCGTCCGTCCTGGATTGGTTGGTCCATGAATCTGGACTCCATGTCCGCCACCCTTGAGTTGCCTCTTGGCCGTGGTTATCCGCTCGGACTCGGTCCCGCTGCACCTTCTGCGTAAACTCACGGGTAAGCTCCTATGGGTTTGCTCCTTGTTTCGGCCGTTCCGCCCCTCACTTGGGCCTCTTTACCGTGATCAGAGCCTTCCTCCCTTGGTACACGTCGCCGTGTCGCCGGAGTTGTGGACTTCTTTCCGGGCCGCCATGTCTCCGGACCTCTCCTTGCAAAGGGAGGTTGGCTTGGCCAGCTGTCCCAAGGGGTGCACGCTTGTTTCCGTGGGCAGCCTTAAGCCAGAAAAGCTTTCCTCGGTCCCTCTGGCTTTCCCCGGGGAACGTCGCAAATGGATTTCTGTCCGTATGCCCCCCGATTGTGATCGCAAGCTCTCCTCTGAATCCCGGGAGATTCTCCGAATGTGGCAGTCTTGTCTCTCTGGGGATCCACCTGTGTTTTCTCTGGCACTTGCTCCGCTCCTTCCGTGTGAGGCCTTTGCCGATGCATGTGCTGATGGTCGTTCCGCCGGGATTGGCGGGTACGTTCGATTGGTCTCCGGCCGCTGCGTCTGGTTCCGCCGCACCTTGTCTGCATCCGAGCTTTGCTCGCTCTTTCCTTGGTTTGAGGAGCGTTCCGCCCCGCAGAAATTTATTGGCACTTGTTTGGTGCGTGGCTCTGCGTATCCGGCCGGACACCATCCTGTTCATTTTATAAGCAGGTGCGACAACGCCCCGTCCGATTCCGCCTCATGGAAAGGCATATCCACAGCTCGCAGACTCTGCTCCTTACTCCGCACCTACTTTTCTTGGCAGCGACACTTCTGTGTCAGCACTTACATTGATCACGTGCCTGGATTCCGGAATAGAGTGGCCGATGGTCTTAGCCGCTCCGTTTCCCCTTCTGATTTGGGAATGTTCGCTTCCGACGAAGTTTCGATCCCGTGGGAACTTCTCTCATGTCCGCCGCGCCCACAGTATTATCCTGCAGACGCGCTTTCGGCTTCCGTCTTTCCGGCTGCCTGTCCGGATTGATTGTGTGGTCTCGCCTACTCTCCGCACCTAGAGTTCTGACTTTGGCTGGGTTTCCCCCTGCGGGTACTCTTTTGTCCGGCTCCGAGTTCTTCAGTTGGCATTATACCCAGCAAAGTCCTGTCCGTCGGTCGGCCGTGCGATTTTTCGTCCGCCGACCGACCGAATACCTGGCCGTAGCAGAGTCTAGGTTCTCCGGTCCGATACCGGCCGGAGTATCCTTACGATCCGCTGCGGCGACTGCCATCCGAAAAAGAAGGGAGCGTGCACTTTAGCTGCTGTCTTTTCCGGAGCGCATAGGCACATTCCACACCGCACGTAACGGACTAGTGACTAGTGATTTCGGCCGAATGGTTTCTCGACGTGTCGTATTCTGTTTGTCCGAAATCTCGCAACGGCAAGGGTGAACCGCAGCCGTGCTTCTCGAGCATACCGGTCCGTTATCCGACGGTGTGCCAGCTTTCTTGCCCGCCACCGTCCCCTGTTCGCCACCGTTCCGCTGGAAATTTTCTTTTGGTTCTGGATTATTCTGGTGGATTTCTTTGGACTTTGTGTATATAGCGTGGTAGGCCGGCATTATACCCAGCAAAGTCCTGTCCGTCGGTCGGCCGTGCGATTTTTCGTCCGCCGACCGACCGAATACCTGGCCGTAGCAGAGTCTAGGTTCTCCGGTCCGATACCGGCCGGAGTATCCTTACGATCCGCTGCGGCGACTGCCATCCGAAAAAGAAGGGAGCATGCACTTTAGCTGCTGTCTTTTCCGGAGCGCATAGGCACATTCCACACCGCACGTAACGGACTAGTGATTTCGGTGCCTGCCATGTCTGCTGAGCCCGTAACAAGCTGCCCGAGACTGTCAAAGCAAGGTGGCTGGAGTCGGCCATGACATGCACAGAGTCGGAGCTGACTTCGCTAGGTGCTGAGCTCTCAACGCTGCTCCTGCAAGCTTGCTGTGAAGCTCATCGCACGAGGCCGACCATGCTGGACTTGATCAGCACATGCAGCGTGCTGGGGATTGGGCATAGCCCTAAGTTCTGTTCGTGGCAAGTTGACTCAGATGCCCGTCGCTCCTTCTTGGATATTTTGCAGCTTTAGGCCCGGGAAGTACATCAGCAACTGCTGGGACAGCTGACGTCTCAACCTGTTCTTTGTTGTGCTCGGTACTACTAAGCGAGTCTCAGTCTCTGCAGGTGCGGTACTGCAGTAGAATACACTGGATAACACGGTTCAACATTGCAGGACGTCTTAAAATGATGCTTCGATAAGGGACCAGATCCTCTCGCCGTATGAGTGCGCGACGACAGCCGATATTCCAAAATGGTCACAGCCCGAGATGCCGCTCAAGTTGAGTCTGCAGTTTATACGTTTGCAGCCTTCAGTTTAAACCTCTTGAAGGCTGTGTGTTGTAGTGTATGCGAAATAAGGTCACGTGCACACAAAGAATGGTGCTGCGAGCACCAAGACACCGCGCCAGAGCCCCGAATCACCCTGGGGCAGAAACTCTGAATTATGTGTTCAGTGTGGTGCGAGGAACATTCATACATCAGATTACATCAGTTAATGCAACTCGACGTGGGAATAGACGACCAGATGTCGGCTCAGGCTCGTCATCCCAACTTAATGTGTAAGCCCCGACGGATCCTCCAGCCATGCTGTCGGCCGCTGCACAAGGCAATCTAGGCAATCATTGAGCATAAGACGTAAGAGTAAGCTCCTCTTGCACAAGATGAACAACGAAGCTCGCGGACCTCAACACTGCAGGTGTGCGGAAGCCTCCACAACTGTCTTGCCTTCGTGTTGTTTGGGGCTTGAGCTAGCTACATTGGTGCATGAGCAAAGCAGAAGAAGAACAGGGATTGGCGGTCGAGATGTCCAAGCTGCCTGCATCAACGCCAGCTGACACCATCCTTTCCTAAAAACTCGGTAGGTTTATTTGCACGGTACGGCACCAACCAAAAAGCAAAGGCCAAGCAAGTTTGTCCCGCCAGGCGTCGACGAGCCCGTCACCACAGCATTACGTGCCTCCGTGAGAGTGCACGCAATACCTGTGCAATACCTGATGATATTCCCACATGCTGAGACAGTTGCGTAGAGTCGTGAGCACCACATCACTGTGACTGAACACACAGCCATTACATGCAGAGAAGCAGAGAACATCGTGCCTAGTGACGGGCTTGCCGAGATGTGGATCTCCGTGCCACTGCACAAGGGGAAGTGCGCCTTAGCAGCGCAGCAGCATTTCTGACAAGCGATTCGCCCAAGACAACTGAGATGCAGGTATGACTGCGCAGCTGGGATCGACAACTGGCTGAAAGGCTTGCTGCGAGAAATTGCCAGAGCATGCGGGTCTCTGGCGGATGTCTGCATACCTGAACTGAAGGTTGGTCCCATCGCGATGGCCTTAGCGAGCTGCTGACTTGACCGTAATTAACACATGAAACATCACACGCCTATCTCCCGAGTGCGACAGCGACCACTGACCGCGAAGCGCGAATTCGCGCACACCTATTGGCTGTCACCGCATGCTTGCAATTTACTTGAGGACCTTCTGTTGGCTGAGGCAAACAGAACTGGTGCTGTCAGAACAAAGGCATCGGCTGCTTGCACGAGGTTAGCCATGATCTCAGGTTGTGCCGACAACTTCGGTCTCGACGGCAGTCAACACCGCCAGCACCGCCGATTTCGGCTTCAGCATTCCCAACGTGCAAGTCCGTTAATGCACAGGCGTCGGACAACTCAGCACCGTGTCAGGCAGTGACTGACCCACCAGATCTACAACGAATGAAGAACTGTGTCAATCCTCAAAGAATCTTGCAGACTGCCTTAGCCCTGCACGTGCTTGCCTCTGCAGCTCGAGGCAGTCGGCAAGGCGGCTCGCCAGAGCCGGTGGTGCCTGTGCATGCTACCGTTGCAACTTTATACTGGCCATCATGGCACGTCATGTCAGTCTGTTCAACCCGTGAAAGAATTCATTCAGCAGCATTGCATGCCCTCGGACCTATGAAGATTCCAATAGGTCTTCGTGCCGGTCAGGAATATGGAGGCAGCCACAAGGCTCCGCGACCCGCATGCCGAGACGCCGCAGAGTCTGTTCCCCCAGCAGGAGTTGGACGATTTGCTGCATCGAGGGATTGCAAGGTTCATGGATGGCGGTTTCCGGCCGGATCCGAGATCGTCCGAACGTGGCTCCAAGCACACTGAAAATACAAAGCTCCGGGTGCCACAACACCCGCGCAAGACCACAGCTGGGAGCCTTGACCATAAATCGAGCGTTGATCGCAACATATCGCAACCCGAGTTGTATCAAGTTGCCTCCTTGCACATTCTCTGTACAACCTATACAGGCCAAGCACTCCGGCTTCAGGGGTTGGGCAAAGGTTTGGTATGGGTTGGTGTTTGGCACATCAAGGTTCCGAGCTCAATGCCTTTGAAAATGTTTCTCGCGCGCTGCCTCACCGGGGTCCTTGCAGTATCGGCCGGAAGGACTGGCCCAAGCGGGAAGACGTTCATTGCATCAGAGCTTTCAGCTGGCAATCAAAGCTGACCTTTAGGTAGGTTTGCCCAGCTTATCGCTGGGCATCGGGAAACCTCCACTGGGGGAGTGGATGAAACGGCATCGAATCCGCAGAAGTACGGAAGCTGCCCATGTCAGATTTTTCAGCGCCGCTTCCTGTCGTCACAGACCAAGGGATTCGTTTTATCAATGAAAGTCACAACGATCGGTTCCAGCAGGAGCCGACCGTCTTTGTCCGCCCTTCGCTTCGCACGGCAAAAGACAGCAGGCCATGCAGGCCAAGGCCTAGGTGCTGGGCTCACTCGCCACAGCCTCGCCAGCCTTCACTTTCCACAGACAGCTGGCGGAAGGTTGCAACAGCCGGAAACGGTATGAAACGGCAAGAGATCTTGGACTTGATTGCTGCTACTTGTGATGGTCTTTTTTTATGTTCGAGCTCGTTGAACAGATTCCTACATCCATGAGAACCGAGAAGATTCCATGAGGCCAAAAGCATCCAAAAGGCACATTGACGAAGCTTAGGAACGCCCGTATCAAAATACTCGACACAGACAGCGCTTGTGTTGCAGCATGTCGGCAGGAGTTGGAAGAGCTCATCTTGAACGACAAGAAGGTCGGCACAAGGGTCAGAACATGATTGACCAAATTGACCGCTGCTAGCTGCTAGCTGGAAAACGATCCTTGCCTTGAATGCGTTGTAACCCTTCTTGCGGGCCAGCGCTTGCAGAGGGCTTCGTGGCAGACAGTGCAGGCATTCCTGAAAACCAAGTGCGCCGAATGTGGTGGCAGCTGCGGCCTTGCAAAGAAGTACAAGGAGACCATGTCGGTACGAAGCCAAGCGACGCAGACCAGCTCCATGCAACACCGTGTTTGCTCTTGGCTTTTGTTCTGCCGGCAAGAACGATGCAGGCACTGGGGACGAGGAGGTTCGAAGGATTGAAGCTTGAAAGATCATGGAGTTTGACGGTTCGGGCACGATGGTAAATTTGAGTGGGCATCAAACTTCGAACCTTCTTTGAGGCGACGGTTCAAACTCTCAAACTGTATCCATTTTCCAGCTCCAATGGTTCAATCTCCAAACTTTTGCCACCTCCGAGTTCGATTGACGCTCAAAGTTTGGAGTTTGAAAGCTTCGAGCTCGAAATATTTGCTTCGAAACTTCGAAGGTTTGCAAGTTTGGTTTGATGGCTTCAAGCACGTCGAGTTCGAGCGTTGGACGGTCTGCCGAACTCTAAGTTAGAAAGGTTGAGAGTTCGAAAGGCCTGGCGTCGGTTGGGGTGTATGCACGGTCTTCACGCTCGGCTGGCATCAGGCCCGCGCTCCTGAGACGGTTCGTGCGAAGACCTCACGCAAGTGGAGTCTTTGCGCATGTCCTGGCTGTAGTGATTAACGTCAATCCTTTTCTACGTTTTTGGGGCACGGGGTCCAGAGTTAGGTTTTACTCGTAGCTTCTAGGTTTGGGTCCTTGGAGCCTGGCAGGACATAAAATCCAGGTCTTGGGCGTACTGTTTAGGGTTGAGGTTGTTCTGGCACGCCTCAACTCAGACTCTAAACCCAAATCATAGGCCGAAGACAGAGAACCTGATCGCCAGCCGCTAGCTGCTGGGGCCACTGGGCCCGCCGGGCGAGGTCTTACCGTCGGCGAGCCTCCTTTTCGCTCCCGTGTACACCAGACCTCAGGGGGAAGCGGCGCTTCGGGCCTCTATTGTCACAGAACCGGGCACAAGACCCGGAGTTGAAAGCGGCACGACACACAGGTAAGCACAAGAGCTCAGGCTTCCAAACTCTGAAAAATTGAAAGCTTCGGACTCTCAATCTGAAAGTCGTCCATGCTTTCGAGTTTCGATTCTTGAGACTTTCAAGCTTTGGACATCGCGGACTTTCCAACTTTCAACATCAGAAGACTTCAAGCTTTCTTCTGTCGTTCTCGGGCTCGAAATTTTGAAATTCAGTGTCTCACACTTTCACAGTCGAGCCCCGGAGGTCCCACGTGGCCTTCCGTGGCCTCATGAACCCGCATCCTTTGCCCCACGCCCGTCACGCAGTGCGGCTTCCTCACGGTTTCCTCCTGTTTTCAATCTCGATACGCTGATACCTTCGAACTCTCCAATCTCGCCCTCCATCTGATACGTTCAAACTTTGAAAACTCGGCATCGAAACCCTGCATGGGCAAAATGCGAGCCTGGGAAAGAGTGAAGATGAATGAGCCAGCATTTCAACTACTGCGGCACGTGGCAGCAAGGCGAGCGCGGCGAGCGGAGCAGGGAATCCAGATGGGGGGGATCTCACGTTCTCGCCCAGAGATTGCGGAATGGAATCTATTTTCAGATGCCGCTCCACGGCCCAAGACCCCTCGAGACAGTGGTCGAGAAACGTTTGCACACGACACCCATACGACACTCATCCAACTGCACAGCCGACAACTGTCGCAAGATCGTATGTGAGCGCACCTCTTCTCAGATCCGGTGAGAACGAGCATTTCGAGCTCTCGGGGATCTGGGACGACATTGGTTACACTGTAGAGTCAAGCAGCCCGTGCTTGCCCACCTGGATAGCAGATACAACGGTAAGCCAGCGGTTCAACGGTAGTATGAGCAAAGCAGGAGAGGTGCTGATCATTTCTGGCTCTGTCCAACAGAACGCTAGAGGGAGCCACGTTCGTGTGCGAGATTTTGTGAGGTAATTATCAAGAGCATGATCGAACCCCGGCTGCACCAGAAATGCCGCCTGTTTCCGTGTGTAGCGTTAAGTTACTTCTTCAGCTTTATGTTTTGGGGCTTTTCATGGTTCTTCAACATGCGCAAGAAAGTTGTTCTTGGTGTTCGTTCCTGCATTTCTGCGCCACTGCACAGCAGAATCTTTCAAGGGCCACTTTGCTTGCCTGCCGTGCGCAGCATCATGCCGGTATGTTTCATGTCATGAGCAGAGCTTCGGTCAGCGGTTGATTCATGCGCAGCTCAGGACACGTTTTGGTGTCGCGATTGCGGCCGAGTACTTTGTGACACGCATCGCTATCAGCACACATGCGAAAAGCTTGATGCACTGAAGGAGAAGAATGCCTCTCGGCTCAATGTTCGCTTTCTCTCTCTGTTCTGCTCTGTCGTCGTGTTGTGGTTGGCCCTTTCTGGCCACGTCGGTTCTGGGCCTGTCTCGAACGATGTGCGCCCATTGGTCATCGAGTCATCAGCCATAAGTTTTCACTGCTCAGAGATCTTAGAGTTTGTAAGGCGAAGATCACCAAAGAGGCGCTTCTTGAACAGCTGCGAGCAGACGAGGAGCGTAAGGAGGCTGCAGAGGCCAGGCAAGCGCTGCACAGAATGAGTTACCAGATGCTGCGGAGCTTTCAAATTGAGCCGGTTTCCCATGGATCCCAGCCAAGTCCTTGTGAAATGCCTCGATCACATGCATCCTGTGGGGTGTTGAGGGTGCTGTCTTTTGCCTAGGCGGCTGCTAGAGCAGAGCAGCGTCGTGCAGCCGAGCAGCTTGAGCAGGCCTGCTCCGTGAGTGTGGGTCGGCATGCTCCTGGAATCGAACGCCGCTCTTGGCACGAAAGCGTACAACACGGCCTTAAGGCCTGCAGCCAGCAAGGTGCCTCAATTTTCTCCGAAGGGGGGCAGGGTCCATGACAGAACCTTATGCCCTAGAGAAAGAAAGATGGCACCTAAGCCTGGTGATAGCACGATTCCTGTGACTCCAATTGCATGCCATGGCCTGACAACCAGAGCTTCCCTAAGTGAGCAGCAAGACGGTTGGGCCGGACCTCCCGGGCAGGAACTGGGGCAGGCCAAGCGTGGCGGAAGCCGATGGTTTCATGAATCTAGTGCCTGCAGCTCAGCTTTCAGTCCAGGAGAAGTCGCAGCGGAAAGCGAAGAGGAAGATTCTGGCGACAAAGGTTTCCCATTGCATGCATTGAGCGATGCCTTCTTGTGCCCATGCACAATTGCCTTGACACACATGCACATCGGGAGCACACTGAGACTTCCGAGAGCTTCATTCCGCACGTGATCTCAAGCTCAGGTCAGTCGTGACTAAGATGCCAACAAACGCGCAGCTTGTTGGAGCACGACGATGTCACAAGCTGAAGTGAGAAATGCGTCCCATCCTCACGTGATACCTTGCAATCTAGAGCTTCGCTGGCCCGTGCCAGAAAGAAAGGCTTGGGCCCCCCTGCTGTTGCATTGATGATGCAAATGGTCTTAACTCTTAACTCTACTCCCTTGGAAGTGCAGCCGTTGCCCACACACAGGAACCTCCATTGAGGGTCGAACTTCGACTACACGAAAGCGGCAAAAAATGCATTCAACTTGATGCATTTAACTTGACCCAGTACAACCGAACGAAGGACTGCCCCACTTGTTCGGTTCTAGTATTTAGCAGTAACAGGACAAAAAAGACTAACATGGACCCACCGAGCCGAACATACTGAACATATTTCCATGCCTTCTTCGGCTGTGCCCGCCGTGTTTGCGTCCCCGGCTTTTTTTATTCCCTCCTTGGTTCCCGCCGGTTCTTCACAGGCGCGGACTCACCCGTCACTGCAGGCGTCCCGGCTTAGTCTTCGTCTGAGAAGGGCTGACTTCTTGGATGATGCCACCTTCGCGCTGTTGCACCGTCTTTGCGCTTCCGGCCTTGTCGGCAGCCTACTCCAGGGCTCGACTACGATCGGGTGGTCCGCCTCCTTTCCGATCTGTTGCTTATCCATCTGGACTTCCATCCCTCTCAGCCTCCCAGGCCGAGTCCTATCTGATGGCTCATTCATGCCCGGTGTCGAGAACTCTTGTTACTCGTGGCGTCCTGCCGTGGTTTCATTTGTGTCTCAAGTTTGTTGCGCATGGACCCGGATGTCATTGCTTGGTGTCGCACTCATGCTCCGATTGCAGCTGCCGTGGCAGCATGTGCACATGGAATGGATTTGGTGCCCACGAAGCGTGGTCGTTTTTCTGCAGTCAACTTCCACGTAACGGAGAAAGAGGCCTTTTGCCTGAGTCCGCGAATTTCGTCACGATGTAAGGCCATCCCGTTGACACCTGAAATTCGGACGCCCGAGAGCTTCTTTGCGTGCATGATTCAAACTCAGGTCGCCGGTGACTAAGAGGGCAGCTTTATGGGCAGCTTGTTGGAGCTCAACGACATCACAAGACGAAAGAGCAGGTACTGGTACGTGAGAGGCGTCCCATCTTTTGCAATCTAGAGCTTCGTTATCTTCGTTGGCCCATGCCCAACCCAAGCCCGTGGGCCCCTCGCCGTTGTGTTGATGATGCAAGCGGTCTTAACTCTACTCCCTTAGAAGTTCGGGTTGCGCACACACAGACACATGCACGCAAAAGTCCTACACAGCTAGTACTCGCAGTGCAGCTCCCTTTTCAGATGAGGCGAAGCAGGTGGAAAGTTTCATTCAGCAAAGATCCCGAGATGCCGATGGCTTGCGACCTGCCACGCAGCTTCCCTGATAAAGCCCAAGACACCAGTGTGGGGTGGCACCATGACAGGTTGCGGAGCTCACGTCGGTCCAAAGCCTGCTGCCTCACTCATCTCAAGACAAGAAGCTTTTGACTCCTAATCTGTCGCGCCTCACGGAACGAGCCGAAGTGTCAGACGGTCCGGAGCCGTTGTCTTCGTTTGAACTGATAGAGATACTTGCGGAAGGGTCAAAAGTCTAAAGAAGCCGACCAACCCTGGCCTTGGCAGCGGCGTTTTGTCCGCTTGCTCGTAACTTCAGGCACAATCAGCTGCTGGAGCTTTATCCACGCGCGTGTCCTGGAAAGCAACATCCATGCTGGTTCGCACTGCACCGCGACCATGTTTCGGGACATGTGTCAGGTTCGCTGCAGTGTCTGACAGCCCAGGAGAGGACTAGCGCTCGCACTTTACAATCAATTCGAGCACCCCGACAACACAGAAGTTGGAGGCAAAGACTGGGAGGACGTCAAAGAGATCTACAGCAAAGCACGTCACTCCAGCTGCACGTGTTGTTGCATAGCGCTCATCGACATATGCATCGACTGACTATCACATGCACTCGAGAGCCACGCCCTCTTATGCATGCCACAACCGTGGCAGTATTCAATTCAGCTTTGGTGTCATAGCTGTTTCTTGCAAGCGAGCCTCCATGGCTGCTCCCGTGTGGATGCCATCGACTACTACGACTACAACTACTACTACTACCACCACTACTACTACCACTACTACCACTACCACTGCCCCTACTGCTGCTGCTGCTGCTGCT